GAAATGTGCGCTGCTTTTCGGTCTGGTTACTACCGTTTATGTCAGAACCGGTGCCATCATGGCACCGGACACCGGTACCCATCCCTAGTCACGTGGTATGGATCAATGGGAGGAGAGTAGACATCCAAGGCCATTATCTAGGCCCGCCAGAGCTGAAAATGAGCCAGGATGCCGTCAGACGTAGTAAGCCGGGCCCAGATGTCAACTGTTTGCTCAGTGTCCTCAGACAGCAGCCATTGACCTCTGGTTCCTGTAGAGATGCATGGAAGCTGAGTGCCACCTCACAATGTCACTGTCAATCCATCAGCCCCACACATGTCCACTGGGACCTGTGCTGAAATCACATACGGGTGCGTCACAACTTTCACAATTTCAGTCTTTAAAGGCGTTGTGACAAGCAGCGTTACTTCGTCCCCAGATAATTGCGCCTCTCCTGGAGCCTCACAAATGGTGGAGTATGTGGCTCCTGTATCAACCAGGAACGGCAGAGTCAGTCCATTCACCGTCATTGGGAGTAAGGGGTCTGCCTTTCCCCCGTCTCCCCAGCCTCTCTGTGTGTCACTGCATCCACCCATCCCAGCTGGCCTCCCAGCGTGGCAATTGTGGTGTCATGTGTGGATTAGGTGCTTGGTATTGGGGTCACCGTCTGCCCCATTGTAGCTGACCAGTGTATTGTTGAGGCTGCTGCTGATAACAGTCTCTGTGCCAGGTGCCTCCCTCACACCCACCGAGCCACCACGGCCTCTTGCCCTACCCCTACCAAGCCCCATATTACCACCCCAGCTGAGCTTGGGTGCAGTTTGCTGTCCGTCATAGTCAGTTATGGGAATTACGGCATTACAAGTAACGGCGTTACTAACTTTTTTCAGTAACGAGTAATATAACTAATTACAACTTCTATCGTTACAACCCCGTTACTAACAAGAAAATGCAGTGTGGTCGCTTTACTATTTTTCAACAGACGGTTGAAGCTGTCTTCAGCTTACTGCACCGTACCGAATCAGTTGTACAGAAGTAGCTGTGTACGTAAGTAATCTGGGTGCTGCAGGTTTAAGCAGCTGTGCGCCCACAGACGGCAATCACTTTCTGCCCGATGATCAGAAACAACACAAAACACTGCAAACCACAACACAATTAGATATAAATATGAAAAAATACGAAAACACAAAGAAGACGCACATTCTCTGTCATATGGGCCTGCATGGATAAAGTTTCTGAACCCATTATCATCCACAACTGAAAATAGTTGTAATTCGTTATTTGTTACTTCATGTGGTGGCTATCGCGGAGCTTCCACAGATTCAGTAACATTAGCAAGTGGTGGAGGCCAGCATGTGGATGAGGGAAAGGGGAGGTAGGAGAAGAAGGAGAGACCCAAGGCGGCCGCCGGTCCGCGTGTCAGGTGAACTGAATTTCAGGTAAGAAGTTATGACCTGCAGTCTATCTGGGTTAGATATAAACCTAGTTTAGGTGTAGTTTGTTTTTTCGTTATGCTGACTTTTTTGTACTGGGTACTAGCTAGTTTCTACACAGCTGGGTGGGTGCTATGATGTTACTGATGTTGAACTTTATTTTGTTCATAAGGTTAATTATTAGAGTTGCCAACCATCCCCTAAAAAACGGAATTGTCTTGTATTCAGAGAAAATATTACGCGTTTCGTATTGAGGTGAAAAGGAACAGTTTGTCCCGTACTCCAGCTACAATGAAAAAGGCACAAAGCTGGAGTTATTCTTTGTCTTTGCTGCAAAGCTGCCTCTTCTTCTCTCATTCTCTCCCCCTCCCTCTCCTTGTTAATAGGAAAATTGTACTTAGTAGTCAGTATAATCTTTTAATGATATAAGTTTGTATATGGTAGAATGGAACAAGCAAAGCTTAATACTAAACAATATATATATTAGCTGTATAATACCAGTAGGCCAGCTCTGATAGTAATTTGGTATGGCTTCGCGGGCCAAATGTAAGTAGGCTGCGGGCCAAATTTGGCCCGCGGGCCAGAGTTTGACACCTATGATCTAGGGCATAGGTGTCACAGCTGTAAAAGCTGCTGGTCATGATGTCGGTTTGGGTATCTGGTGAGAGGGAAACATGAAGATGAAACCAGGAGATGTCCTTACTGAATCATCAGAGCTGAACAGGTGATGGAGAAACAGGTTTACCTTTTAGGTGACATGAATGAGTTGAAGAGAAGTTATGAACTGTTTCTGAGAGACAAATAACACCAGGATCCTTTTCTAAGTAGCTGACAGCTGGTCTAGCAAAGTTTTGCAAGGAGGGCCAGGTAGGGCATTAACAGGAAAGGTGGGGCACAAAGAAATACTGTTCTTTCTTATTCTCATTTAAAATATCTAGCTTGTAAAAAATAATTGTCTGAATCTTACAACAAATGATTGATAGATTGATGCATATATACCATCAAAAGAGTGTACATCACTGTCACAACATTGTTTATTTTCATTCAAAGGCTTTATAATTTAGGCTAGAATCATGGTGGCGTGGAAATATGCACATTATTTTTTCCTTTCTATTGGTAGGTGGCACAGTGCACTTGTGGCAAGTAAGCAAGCTAGAAGACTGGCAGTCTGGCTGGGTATCCAGTTACAGAAGCAACACATTAACAAGAGAATTCTGAGTATAACCAAAGTTACTCTCCCTAGTAACTAGTTACTTTGAAAGTAACGAGTAACTTGAAGTAACTGAGTTACTTTTGATAGAAGTACTGTAAGTAGTAATATAACTAAATTACTAATTTAAAGTAACTTACCCAACACTGCTAACAACACATTAAAACATTAACTTCAAGTATAAAGGTTTTTTAAAACTATTTACAGCGACTCAAATATCAAATGTACCCGAAATTCCAGCTCACAGAGGGCACGAGAGCAGCATGCACCTCATCGGATGAACGGAAGGCTGTGGTGTGTTCAATGACTACCAAATCATCAGAAATCCCACACTCAAAAAATACCTGGGTTACACTGGTAGCACAGATTTCACAACAGCTGGTCTCAGTGAGTGTGACAGCAAACACCTTATCCGATCACGTGGATCGGACAAGGTGTTTAGCTGTGTGTGTAGCTGTGCTACGGAACCAGCCAAACGGCCAGACACTGGTTTTGCGATGCAAGCTATGAGGACACAGCGGTAAGGCCTAAATCAACAGAATCCAGAGCATCACAAAAGAAAAGGCCAGGCTGCAGTGGCTGTGAGTGCATGTTTCCAACTACATCCGGAAGGGTAACTGGCAGCAAAATTCAGGACACCTCCAGTCCACTCATCTCTGATCTGGAGGCTCATCTAATATGTACCTGGATGCCAACCCTACAGCCTCTTTTCCTTGATTTCTTCTTAGGATTTCCTGAGGCACTTTTTGTAATTAGCTCCTTTTCCTATCAGGAAAAGCACACAAATAGTAGGGGGAAAGTTTCCTTGAACTATCCCAATCATCATAAAGGCGTTCCATAGACTTTTTGATGTGGAGCAGGGGAGAACAGTCATACGTCACAGTGGCAGAGGTGCATTTATTAAACGTCAGGGTTGAAAATGTAATAGGAGATTGCAGACAGGTAGAATAATAATATGGATTGGATTTATATAGTGCTTTTCAAGGCACCCAAAGCGCTTTACAATGCCAGTATTCATTCATTCTCACATTGGTGGAGGCAAGCTACGGTTGTTGCCACAGCTGCCCTGGGGCAGATTGACAGAAGCGAGGCTGCCATATTGCGCCATCGGCCCCTCTGGCCATCACCAGTAGGCTGAAGTGTCTTGCCCAAGGACACAACGACCAGGACAGAGAGCCCAGGGATCGAACCGGCGACCTTCCGGTTTCAGATAGAAGCTAACCACAGGCATCAAATTCAAATTCAAATTCAAATTTTATTTGTCACACACACACAACCATACACAGTATGACATGGGGGTGAAATGGTTGTAGCTGTACAATGCCCGACCATTAAATGACAGAAGAAAAGTTTTACAATATTTACAATTTACAGTTTACTACAGAATTTACAAATTAACTTGGGAATTTACAGTAAAGAATGTGCAAATAGCAGAAGAGATTATAAAGGTTATAAAGATCATAAATTATAGGAATTATAGGATTATAGGAAATGTGTGGTGGTGCGTGTGGTGATGTGTGTGAGAGTCCAGTCCTACACCTGGTTCAGGGCCCGAATAGCCTGGGGGAAGAAGCTCCTCCTCATTCTCTCCGTTTTGGCCTTAAGGGAGCGGAAGCGCTTCCCAGACCTCAACAGTGAAAAGAGTCCATTGTTGGGATGGGAGAGGTCCATCATAATCTTCCTAGCTTTGGACTTGCACCGCTTGGTGTAGATGGACAGCAGGTCAGGGAGCTCTGATTGAATGATGCGTTCGGCTGAGCGCACCACTCTTTGCAGATCTCGTCTGTCCTGCTTGGTGCTGTTCCCAAACCAGGTGCAGATGTTTGCCGTCAGGACGCTCTCGATGGTGCAGGAGTAGAAGTTCTTGAGCACCTTCAGTGGCAGATGGAAGTCTCTAAGTCTTCTGAGGAAGAAGAGACGCTGACGGGCTTTCTTAACCAGGGAGTTGATGTGGCAGGACCATGACAGGTCATCTTGCTTGTCATCAGAAGCTACAATGATTTGAATCATTTTACATCTCACCAAGAGATGTAAGAGATACTGTGTGTGTGTGTGTGTGTGTGTGTGTGTGTGTGTGTGTGTGTGTGTGTGTGTGTGTGTGTGTGTGTGTGTGTGAGATTAATATATCAGTGGAACAGCTCAGATAGGGTAGCTAGAGAGACAAGACTGAAATGGTTTCAACATGTGCAGAGGACAGATAGTGGATATACTGGACAAAGTATGATGAAGAATAAGTTGCCGAAGGGGAGTAAAACTGTTTTATGAACAAAATGGAAAAGATCTTTTGTATGGTGGTATACTGAAAGGACTTTATTGTATGTAAACACTTCCAAAAATAAGTAATCTCTGATACCCAACATGCAACTAATGAACAAAACTACACTTTTTTTTTTTCTTTTTAGATCTACTATTCTTAAGTATTTTAATTCTACAGTTCTGGGGGCTGCTTATCTTAATGCCCTCGAGGGACACCAAAAGCCAGATTACCATCCTCTGAAAAAATGAATTTTCCGTTGCTTATGAAGTTTCTCGATATATTGATATTCCAGCTTTCCAGGATGTTGTCCAGTTCTCAGACGTGTGTTTTTGATTTCCTCATAGTAATGATTCCAGTTTCCTTTCTTGTCTGCTCCAAATCCAAACACATTAACCTGAAGACACAAAAATGTGGATTATTAATCACAAATGAAATTAACATAAAATAATTATAGATTATAGACACTGCAGATTTCATTAACATGCTTTAGCTCAGGGGTGTTGAACTCCAGGCCTCGAGGGCCGGTGTTCTGCAGGTTTTAGATATCACCCTGGGTCAACACACCCTAATCAAATGATTAATTCATTAACAGGCGTCTGGAGAACCCCAAGACATGTTAAGCAGGTAAATTAGCCATTTAAATCAGCTGTGTTGGATTAAGGACACATCGAAACCTGCAGGACACCGGCCCTCGAGGCCTTGAGTTCGACACCTGTGCTTTAGCTTAATGCAGTGCAGGTGATTTGCCATTCCATTTTTCTTTTTTTCTTTTTTAAGTATATTTTATTAAAACCAAAAAATAAAAATACAGTCTGTGTAAGTTAGGATTGTCAGTACTTATCATAAATTCTACTACTAGCACCCTCACCATCCCCTGGAATTTTCTCATACCAAGAGCCTTATCAAGGCAATAGGAAAGGCCAAGAAACAAACACTTCAACATGCAAATACAGTAACAGTATAAAACTATATTAAATACATACAATTAATAATAAACAGATAAACTGAAGAAAGAGAAATAGGAAAGAAATCAAGGTTAATAGTTACTTGTTCCTGACCGATTAACTGATTGATGCATCAGTGTAAAGAGTGAGCTTATCCCCCCACTAATGTGTTCTGCATTGCTCTTAAAAAAGTTATTATTAGGGGACCAAGGACCGGGAGGCAAATCCCTTGGTCCCCTAATTTCCTTGGAGGAAAGGACTCTAAAAGTAAAAGCCTCAAAAACTTATGTCTTGATGTATCCTCAATCATCTGTGTATGGAAATCTTGGTAAGTTAATTCTATTCATCTGGACATAGCATTTTCATTGGTAAAAATGTCCTACAGGTTTCACAAGCCTTAACAGTACATTTGCATAATGACTGAAGAGAGCATCACTCGCTAACAATCGGCTTTGAGGTCAGTTTTATGATTATTAATACACACATTTGTATGATCATAGATCAATTCTCCAGGAGTACTATTCACAGACAGTTGGGGAATGGCTGCAATGTAAAATTTGGTTCTCATTTTAATGCTCCAACCTCCACACCTTTTTAATTCATTCACTTCTCATTAGTACACGCGTCATCCAGCCTAGGGGCAACTGCCAGTTCCCGATGAGGCCTTCCAAATTCAATTCCCTATGAGGCCTTCCAAATACAATCACAGATTGTCTATCTGTGATTGTCAAATCTAAATAAGGGATATTGTCCCAGCTAGTTTAATGGTATTTAGGTAATTCTGCTCTAGAAATAACCAGATGGTAAAGATCCCTTGTGGTAATGCTTAAACTGGAAATGATATCTATGCTCTCATGTACAACCAATGGGCCAATAATGAATGGTGTAGCGATGAATTATCATATCTGTTCCTTGAACCTACCTCATCACACAAGTACAAGCTGAGAACCAAAGTCAGAAAGCCAGTGGATGGATACCTCCCATGCTTTTCTAGCCAAACATAATGGACATATTTCATGAAAGCAGGGCTGAGGATCATCACCTATTAAAGATTACAGTTAGACTTCAATGACAGTTTAGTAAATAATAGAATTACCTTTCTTATGACATATCATATTCTGGATGTTTGAAGAATAAGTCATTCTACTCACCAAATTCGTGTTAGTTTTCACACCTGATTTAGCAGTTTCTTTTTGCCTGTTGGATATAACAATAACATGAAATAAGTCCAAGCTCAAAAATGCAACTGCATTTTAAAATATGGTGCAGTTTACCTTTGTGCTTTTGTAATGGTTTGTTTGTTTGTTTGTTTGTTTGTTTGTTTGTTTGTTTTCTAATTCTACACTGCCAGGGAGGCACCGAGACCATGACACAACTGTGTGTGTATATATTATGTTTTTGTCATGGTCTGTGGCCCTATGTCTGTGGAGTGTGTGGGCTGCCCTGGTGGCCACACCTCCGGGCTGGGCCATCACCTGCACACCTGCTTTCCATTCTGGGCAATTACCTGGAGGACTATTTAACCCACGCTGACGGATGCTCCACGCCAGTCTGTTAATCACCCCTCAGGGGTAACTAGGCTTCCCGCAAAAGCTTTGTACATATGTGTCATTTGAACTGCGTTAATTCTGCCTTCATGTGCCTAGGGTATGATCCGGCGTTTGAGCCTGCTACCTGCCTGTCCTCCTGCTTGCGAGCAGTGCATCATCTGACCTCATCCTTGCCTCCTCGGATTCGCTTCCCACGGACACACTTCCCCCCCCTTCCGAGTCCCACTGTCCAGCTCTGATCGTAAGCCAATTACAAAAGCCCTGTCTTGTTGTGTCTCCCTATTTGCCAGCTCACTAGTAATTTTCTCCCCTTTCTGTTGCAGCCTCTCATGGTCCTGATTATGGCTTCCCTGTGTCGTTTATCTTCCCATTTTTTTTCTTCAGTTCCTCGTTTTGTTTCTTTGGTTGTTCCGGGTCACCTTTTGTTAAAGCAATAAACTGTTTTCTTGCTCGCATTTGACTTATTGAGTCTCCTTTTGGATCCCATTTGTGTGAGCGCACTGTGGTGCATGACAGTTTTATTGTTGTTGTACGCTCTTTCTCTCCCCCTCTCCTCTGTCTGGGTGGAGCTCATCTTAGGTTCCCGCCTCTGACCCACGCACCTGCCCTGATTACCAAACCTCCCGCTGATCTATCTGATTTCACGAACACTACTTAAGATGGCAGTTCAATACTTCTCATCGGGATTAAGCCGCTTTGAAAACTAACCCTGAGATATGTTTTTGTGAATCTCTATCCAAATTTAAGACTGTTTGGTAAAGGCATCAGCGCAGTGCTGAAACATTTCTGACAAAGATGTAAAAAAAAATAGGAATTCAGGATTGAAACACTTTTTCATACAACTGTGTAGGGTTAAAAAAGCTTACATACCCCCATTAGTATTATATTATAGCCAGTTATTTGCTTGATTACATGCTTTTGGAAGCCGTAAACAAGATCTTGATATAAATCTGATGAGATATTTCACCACTCTTCTTGATGGTAGTATAGGTAATTTTAATTAGCTGGCTTCCTGGCACAGGACTGTCAACAAATTTTCAATCTGTTGGGGCTGTGGGAAGGAATTTTGTCTCAACATGTCACAACTTTGCTAAGATCTGAATGATGACTCAAAATGTCAGAGGATATTGGTTAGGATGTTCAGTTAAAAAAAACCCACAACCACCAAGGTTCAAGCCTGTCATGAACTGGAAACTGCTGGAACACAAAGCTCCATTGTCTACAGTGAACTACAATTTCACATTTAGTTTAAAATACACACTTTCATGCTTGACTAAAATTTGCAGCTGGGCAACAACAACAAATGGTCAGACAAAATAAAGATTGAGCTATTAGGCCATAAAGTGATGTGTTTAGAAAAGCAGTGGTGAGACTTAAATCTAAGAACACTGTGCCAACTGACAAGCATGGTGGTAATAAAATTATGCTCTGGGGCTGTTTTGCAACCGGAGGTAATGGTTGAAAAATGTCAATTCAGACCCATAATTGAATTTAATATTGAGACTGACAAGTTGAGCTCCAGAGGAATTTGCAAACATTTTTATACATCATAACTAATATAAGTCAGGGTAATATTTTTCTGGGCCAAGGGACTCTGAACAGAATGTCCCAGACTTAGGTTATAAGTAGAAAACAACAGGCTAGGAATTGCTAGATAATATTAATACAACAAGGTTAGGGAGGGAGGTGTTTTTTTCAGGAAAGGAGCAGGAAATGCAAGATGAGGTCAGACGTGGATGCAGTGCAGAAGTTCCACTTGGGAGAAAGCAGGACTGGCCACATCATTTCCCATAAGAGGATAGTCATAATAATAATACTTGTTTTTTGTTGTGGTATAAAACCACTTACAGGATATTACCCGCTTAAGGGGTCCTTTTCGTAAAGTAGACCGCTGGTTCACATCAAGGTGCAACGCCGAAACTTCTAAAATGAATTAAATATTTTAAAAGCTAGTCAGGGGCGCCCATTTAGCTCAGTGGAATGAGTACCATATCACATGGCTGTGTATTTCCTTAAAGAAAGAAAACGAACATTAACATTCACCAGTTTGTCTGTTTGTATCTGGAAATCCCAGAGGATCTTTGATCAGCCATTCTCAACCACCGTAGGGCACATATTCGCAGATGTTTCTGTACACTATGCTGACCACTTTGTTATAGAGTTCCATGTATGCCCTGCCTGCAAGCATTTTACACACTGCTGTTATGTGCTGGATTCTTTCAGGGGCATCTTGGTACAGCCTGCACCTAGGCTCTTGTCTGTTGTTGTAGACACCCCCCGGCATCTAGTGCTCAGAGCTTGTTTCTCTGGTGCCATTATTAATTTCTCCGTGCTGTCTTTCAGTTCAGCTTTGTCTAGCCCCTGGTAGGATTTCTGGATATCAGCCACTTCTTTTACCTGACGGTGCTACATACCATGCAGGGGCCTGTTGTCCCATGGTATTTCCTCTTCTTGCTCCTCTTCTTTTTTGGATTTCTGCTGCCTGAGGTATTTACTAACCAAACTAAGTTTGGTCTTGGCCATCTTCCTGATGTTCTCATGTTTGTTGTTTCATCCTGGACAGTGGTTTTGACAGCCACTAGTCCTCAGCTTTCTTCCTTTTGCTTACAGCGTACAGTCTCAGGGAGCTGGATATATGCAAGGTGATGAGCTTCCTTTTTTTTTTTATATCAGTGGCTTCTATATCTTCCTTTGACCATGTTATTATCCCATTAGGTCTCTCTTCACCAGCAGGGCATGGGTGTTGATTGCCCGGATTAGTGATGTGCGGATCGATACTGAAATATCAATTCCTCTGATACCACTCATTTATGTTCTAGAATCGACTCTCATATTAAAATATCAATATTTTAGTAATTTGGGGTAAATTTGTAGTTTATCACTAACAGGAACAGAGTGGAAAGAAACTATACTGGGTACATGTAGCTCAAGCGGTAGAGCAGGGCATCTACTGTAGCAGCTGGTTCATTTGTGCTGTCAGATGTTTATGAGGAGTGAAATTAGCTTCAGTAACCACTAGGCATGATTCATGTCAGGGCTTGGTGGTGTCCAACTCTTTATACTTGAGACCCTTTCTTGGTCCACAAGAAAGTCTGCCACTGTGATGCATACTGGATCCTGTTCAGGGAGGTTTCTGCAGTCTGCTCTTAAATGGTAAAGGGACTGATTCTTATATAGTACTTTTCTACTCTCCCGGAGTACTCAAAGCGCTCTATACAACATGCATCATTCTCCCATTCACACCCACTCATACAAGCACTTCCTTCTATAATATGCAATCTAAGCATTCACACATACATTCAGACTCCAATGGATGTATCGGAGAGCAACTTGGGGTTAGTATCTTGCCCAAGGACAGTGTTGGGGAGTAACGGAATACATGTACCGCCGTTACGGATTTAAAATACAAAATATGAGTAACTGTATTCCGTTACAGTTACCGTTTAAAAAGGTGGTATTTAGAATACAGTTACTTTGTTGAAATAAATGGACTACACGGCGGTACTTCCCTGTTTCATGTTGTGGCGGGTCAGGACTGTTTGGGTTTTGTTTGACAGCTACGTTCTGTTGTTCCAGGCGGCAGCGTTACGGTTGCCATGGTTACAGGGTGAAGCTCTCTCTGCGTGTTTCCTGGGTGAGAGAGCGCCTTTTTGTTATTGTTATGCTAAGCTAATAGGCAGAATGCTACAGGTATAGCTCTAAAGAATGTAGCATCATAGGCAGTGTAGTCCATGCTGCAGGGAGAATGGACTGCCATACACGTTATGTGTCTGTGAGCGCGAGGAGGGAGAAAAAGTACGAGTTGTCATCGAGTAAAAACGGGAGCTGGAAGCATGTAAATATAATAATAACCACTGCAGCCAAGAAGAGTGCCTGAGGAGCCCAGTGATATAGATATATATATATATATATATATATATATATATATATATATATATATATATATATATATATATATGTATGTATATATATTGTGGAGCAGGGAAATTATTTTACTGCTATTGCTAAATAATCATCATCATTACCATTGCATTAATAATAGAATCTGCAGCATTGATATTGTATTCAGAGGTTTAAACAGTGTGTGTCTTTTAGAAAGACTAAGTGCAGCAGGCTGACAGGAAGTTGCAGAGAGTTGCAGAGAGTTTGCAGAAGCGAAAGCAGTCTAAGTATTCTGAGAAGCAGGTTGGACGAGGCTATTTGAATTACTAGGTTATTCAAATTGTCTGTTATACTTTTATATTCTTTTACTAAGCTCTTAGTAGAGGCTCTTGATTAAAACATTTATTTAGTAGATGACATATACATAGTCTCAGTTAGGATGAGCCTCTGTTCTGGTGAAAGGTCAGAAGTGCAACAGGTGAATTGAAAAAGAGCATTTAAGGACAAGACAGTAAGTGAGAGGTGACATACAGTGGGGCAAAAAAGTATTTAGTCAGCCACCGATTGTGCAAGTTCCCCCGCTTAAAATGATGACAGAGGTCAGTAATTTGCACCAGAGGTACACTTCAACTGTGAGAGACAGAATGTGAAAAAAAAATCCATGAATTCACATGGTAGGATTTATAAAGAATTTATTCGTAAATTAGGGTGGAAAATAAGTATTTGGTCGCCTCAAACATGGAAAATCTCTGGCTCTCACACACCTGTAACGTCTTCTGTAAGACGCTTTTCTGTCCCCCACTCGTTACCTGTATGAATGGCACCTGTTTGAACTCATCATCTGTATAAAAGACACCTGTCCACAGCCTCAAACAGTCAGACTCCAAACTCCGCCATGGCCAAGACCAAAGAGCTTTCGAAAGACACCAGGAAAAGTATTGTAGACCTGCACCAGACTGGGAAGATTGAATCTACAATAGGCAAGCAGCTTGGTGTAAAAAAATCAACTGTGGGAGCAATCATCAGAAAATGGAAGACATACAAGACCACTGATAATCTCCCACGATCTGGGGCTCCACGCAAGATCTCATCCCGTGGGGTCAAAATGATCATGAGAACGGTGAGCAAAGATCCCAGAACTACACGGGGGGACCTGGTGAATGACCTGCAGAGAGCTGGGACCAAAGTAACAAAGGTCACCATCAGTAACACACTACAACGGCAGGGAATCAAATCCCGCAGTGCCAGACGTGTTCCGCTGCTGAAGCCAGTGCATGTCCAGGCCCGTCTGAAGTTTGCCAGAGAGCACATGGATGATACAGCAGAGGATTGGGAGAATGTCATGTGGTCAGATGAAACCAAAGTAGAACTTTTTGGTATAAACTCAACTCGTCGTGTTTGGAGGACGAAGAATACTGAGTTGCATCCCAAGAACACCATACCTACTGTGAAGCATGGGGGTGGAAACATCATGCTATGGGGCTGTTTTTCTGCCAAGGGGACAGGACGACTGATCCGTGTTAAGGACAGAATGAATGGGGCCATGTATCATGAGATTTTGAGCCAAAACCTCCTTCCATCAGTGAGAACTTTGAAGATGAAACGAGGCTGGGTCTTCCAACATGACAATGATCCAAAACACACCGCCCGGGCAACAAAGGAGTGGCTCCGTAAGAAGCATTTGAAAGTCCTGGAGTGGCCTAGCCAGTCTCCAGACCTCAACCCCATAGAAAATCTGTGGCGGGAGTTGAAAGTCCGTGTTGCTCGGCGACAGCCCCAAAACATCACTGCTCTCGAGAAGATCTGCATGGAGGAATGGGCCAAAATACCAGCTACTGTGTGTGCAAACCTGGTAAAGACCTATAGTAAACGTTTGACCTCTGTTATTGCCAACAAAGGTTATGTTACAAAGTATTGAGTTGTATTTTTGTTATTGACCAAATACTTATTTTCCACCCTGATTTACGAATAAATTCTTTACAAATCCTACCATGTGAATTCATGGATTTTTTTTTCACATTCTGTCTCTCACAGTTGAAGTGTACCTCTGGTGCAAATTACTGACCTCTGTCATCATTTTAAGCGGGGGAACTTGCACAATCGGTGGCTGACTAAATACTTTTTTGCCCCACTGTAGAGGCTGAGTGAGGTCGTGACATACACCCACACACACACATGAGTTAGATTTATTTATAGGAAAGAGGTTAGTCATGTCTGGTTGTAACTGCGAAAGTGTCTCTGTAAACGAGGAACCGTTCCTTGTTGTCTCGGCAAGAAAGAGGAACAATTCACTTTAAGACAAGAACGGAAAGGTAGACAGGAAGTACCGGCCATGAAAATAGAAGATGATCTTCTTTCGAACTGTGTTAAAAGTCATTGTGGTTGATTTGACGTATATATATATTCTGTCGGTGACGCATGAAGGGGCGTCGTTAAATCAAACCCTGATGCCATAAAAATCTGTGTATGCTTTGATCAAGTCGAAGATCGATTGCTGTCTGCGTACAGAGTCGTCTTCCCACACGTGTGTATTCATTAAAAATCAAATTGTTTGACCAAGATCTTCTGGACCATGGTGTTTGTACTCTCCTTCCTCAATATCTGAACCTTAACAATATATATATATATATATATATATACACACACACAAACACATATATACATATACACCAAGACCACGTAAAAGTGGTCTCGAGACATCCAACACTAGTACATTCAACCAGCCTCACAACAGCAGACCATGTGTAACCAGCCCACAGGATCCTTTGAGACCAGCTACCCGCACGGCTGCAGCAACAATATAATATATTATATATAAGCACAGACGATGGTCAGGATCCATTCAACAAACCCTTCATGAGACAATATTGCACTAATTGCCACTTTTAGTCTTGTACTGCTCAAATTTGTACTGCTGCTCACTACTGCCACTTTATCTCATGTGAAATTACATTGTCCCCCCTCCGACCTACCTCAATACATGTCACTTTTCTATTTCTCTCTTTTATGTCTTTCTGTAAGTATCGACAGGAAGTTGAGCCGCTGGTACTCTGCAGTCCGAACAGTCTGGAGCTGAACATGCTTAAGACTGTAGAGATAATAGTGGACTTCAGGAAACATTAACATCAACACTGCTCCATCTCACCATATCAGACCGCCCGGTGTCTACTGTGAAGATCTTCAGGTTCCTGGGTATTACTGTCTCCCAGGACCTGAAGTGAGAGACTAACATCTCCTCCATCCTCAAAAAGACACAGCAGAAGATGCACTTCCAGAGACAACTGGAGAAGTATAGTCTTCCACAGGAGCTGCTGATCCAGTTCTACACTGCAGTCATTGAGTCTGTCCTGTGCTCCTCCATCACAGTCTGGTATGGAGCAGCCACTAAAAAGGACAGGAGCAGACCGTACCTCTTAAGAACCAGGCAGAGGAAATCATCACAGATTTCTCACACCCTGGACACAGACCTTTTGACCTGCTGCCTCTGGCAGATGGTATAGAAGCCTGCAGACCAGGACCACCCAACAAAAGAACAGTTTCTTTCCCCTTGCTATTTCCCTCCTAAACCGTTGAACTGTCACATTGCTTCACACTGCCAGATTGCAACTGCAGTTTATGTACACTCTGTGGTATTCATTTCTGTAATCCAGTATTTTCTGTATATAGGGATTTAGATGTTTTTATATTGTGGTTTATGTATATTGTTCATTGTGTTGCTCATATATTGTCTATTTTACATGGTTGTGCTTGAGAGACACCAGCGACCGGAACCATATTCCTTGTATGTGTTTGTGCATGCATACTTGGCTAATAAATGCGATTCAGATTCTGATCATTTTTTTCCCATTACTTTTATTTCTTGTGGGCTCTCCTTCCTTTATTCATTTTTTTCCTTTTACAAAATCTAATGTGAAATATACAAAAGTGTATATTCAAAGGGTTTTGTCTTGCAGTTATGCATTAAGACTACACTTTCAAATTATAAATGTTAAATAACCAAGATACAGAACCAAATAAAAATATTACCTTTGTAATACACACATACCTTTGAGTAAAAGACCGGATAAGCCACAGTAGATCGGAAATTTTGAATGGAAAAAACACAAGATGTGTGGTGTTGTCCAATTTTTTGAAACTCCTTGGATACATCACATGGTATGTTGTTTTGTTTCCAACATCTCTTTCAAAGCCTTTTGTGGGCCCAAGGTTTATTCTAAAAAGCACAGAGGATATATTGTTCATATTATCATCTATTGGATGATATATGTAGAATGAACATCCATACTGGGGAAAGAAAATATCTTATTCAATTGAGTTTTAAAGGTTTTAGCAATGCTTACAGATATTTAAAGATAACACATGCATGAAGATTTCAAAACAGTATGTTCTACTCTTACCTTATGACAATATCATGAAAGTCTATCAGTGGTCCATAACGCGATCCATTGAGATTACCAGAATTCCCAACCACAGCACAAGTTCTACAAAGGTCAGGGCTGGATCTTGTGAAATTGACTTTGGTTGGGAAGATCTGAAAAACCTTGTTCACTGTTTTATTGTAGAAAGCGAAGCTGCGTCTGTCTGTCTGTATTTTCTGACATAAAAAAGTATTTAATTAATTTGTTGAGTTCACTAGCTTTTTTTTACTAACTGATTATTCTGAGAGTATATTTATAAAAAAAAAAACCATCCCTATTAGCACTGGAAATTTGGTTAAAAAGATGATAACGACTTGTCTTTGAAATCAGTAAAAAAGTATACACACCTACATACATACGTTTAAAATACAGAAGTTAACATTTACCTTCCACCAATTAAATGTATCCTCTGAGATATTGTTTGTGGGTGATAGAAAGGGCTCAGGAGATTCTTTCATAAGTTCACTAAGCCATGGGTCATATTCCATTAAACATTTGTTGCAGGCACAAACACTTTCATTCTGAGGGGGGAAGAAATCCTGGTACACATTTAAAATCCACGAAGCTCTAGAAAAGACTCCAATGGCAGTGGCACACAGCAAGACAAAAAAAACTAATAGTTTCCTCTGAAGCATCTTCACACCTTGATATTCTTGAAAGAGGATCTGATCCGTTCTGTAGATACACACAAAACACAGGATTTAACAATGTGATAACACATGACCATACAGAATCACGTCATCACGCTGCAAACAAGACCAAAACAAGACCTTAGCCAATATTAAAATCAATTTGTTACATCCAAAATGATAGGATGTAACTAATGTCTACAAACATGCTTGAACTAATTGTTACTTCCACATCTCCAAAAGTTAATTCTGGTCATCTGGACATAGCGTTTTCAGTGGGAGAAACATTTTGTCACTCATCCAAGTGACTTCTTCAGGCTTGGATGAGTCTGCAGTCTTCAGCTGACTGCAAGTTTCCCCACTCTTATAAGAAGTGCATTTGCACAATGACTGAAACCGGGCCACTGAAGGAACAATGGGCTGGGAGGTCAGTTCCTTCATCATAATTATGCAAATTCTCATGACCATTGATCAACAACCACTGATCAAAGCCCACTGATCAATGGCCTTGAGTACCATTCACAGAGAGTTGGGGAATGGCTGCAATCACAGCATTGTACGATGGCAAAATATGTACCCTAAGGCCCTCTCCTCAATTCAGAGATGGTCTTTCCCTTTTTACATAAATGGCATCCTTGACTTGCTGCTAAAACCAGCGTTCCTCCTCCAAAGGTTGTTTGGTTTCCCCGATGTATAAATCCTGGAAATCCTCCTGGCACTTAACAGGGTACACTATGTGTTGGAGTCAAATTGTTAAATGTTGTCATTGTGTTTCTTAAATTTGTAACACACACACACCTTTTAAAACAATAGGGGGTTTTACGAGGGGCCTGCGTAAACTGTAACTGTCATGGAAATAAATAGCTGCGAGGAGGACTGCTTGTTGAAGAAGTTGGATTGGAGACAGGTGAGGAGCGTTGAGCTCCAAGAGCTTGGTTCCAACCAACCTTCCCTTGCTTGCAAGTAAAAGCCGGTTGAAGATGTTTGTCTTGTTTTTGTCGTTAACGAGAATAAATTTCTAAATTAGCAGGGCCTGTGGAAGCACAGACCCAACACTATGTCACTCTGTTTGTGTCGGGGGACCCAATCCTTGGGGTGGACCAATTTTTGGTGCAGCGTGTTTTGGGGTTTAAAAGCCACACAGACACAATGTTTAGAAAAAATGTGTGAACTGCTCCAATACTCCTGACACATACAGGATCACTACAGGTTTTCACTTAGGCAGCGGTTGTCCATCTCTCCTGGATCAGCTGGAACTTTCTTTTGGCGCCTTCCCAGCTTTGACAAAAGTCCAGCTGGGATAACCACATTTACTCAGGGCCTTCTTACTGTGATGTTCTTCTGCTTCCCTGGTCGCTGTGTCTGTGGGGATGGTGTTCGCTCTGTGTTGTAGTGTCCTGATGACACCCAGTTTTTGCTCAAGTGGATGATCGGTATGTGTAGGTTTACGGTACACATCAGCTTTTAGATGGGCCCCATTACTGATGGAATGTCTAAGAAGGCTAATCTCCCACTTTTCATATCCTCCCTGGTGAATTTTGATGTGTTGGTTCAACGTCGCAAAGACAAAGGGGTTGATATTGGACTTCCGGAGGTGCAGAGAAGTACACACCCCCATCACCATCAACGGCGTTGCTGTGGAGAGAGTGAGCGAGCAGCTTTCGGTTCCTTGGTGTACATCTGGCTGAGGATCTTACATGGTCAGGACACATAAACAAAACAGTGAAGAAGGCGCAGTAGCGCCTCTTCTTTCTCAGGAGACTGGAAAGATTTGGCATGAGCCCCCGCATCCTTAGGACCTTATCTATCGCTGTGCTATTGAGAGCATCCTCAATGGAGCGGTTCTGGTACCTGGTATGGCAACAGCACCACTTACAACCGCAAAGCTCTCCAGAGAGTAGTGCAGTGCTCTGAACGGATAATTGGAGGTGGGCTTCCCTCCCTCCAAGATATCTACAGGAAGCGGAGCCTGAGGAAAGCGGGAAGGATCATGAAGGACTCCAGTCACCCCAGCCATAAACTGTTCAGACTACTTCCGTCAGGAAGAAGGTTTTGCAGCATCCGGTCCCAAACCAGCAGACTGAGAGACAGCTTCTTCCATCGGCTTCTTCCACAGGCCATCAGACTGCTGAACACTTCATAGACACCTCACCTTCACTCCTGGAACTTCAACATTATGCACTCCACACTGTATATAAATGCCACTTGTTTTGCACAATATCCAACTACCAACCTCTGTATATTTTATATATTGTTTACTCTATTTAATTTGTAAAATATGTACACACACACACACGCGTAGAAAAACACATTTAGTATATACATCCAGTAATGCATACACTCTTATATTGTACATATATTTATTACTCTCAGATTTAGCCATTCTTATATTTTGCTTGTTTAATGTTATTGTATTTTTTGCACACCTCTTTTGCTTGTGAAGCTCGCACACAAGAATTTCACTCGCATTTCACTAGAGCGAAGAAATCACTCACTCACTAACCCCCTCCTTCCTGTGCTGAATCGTAAGTGTAAGCAAATCACTCAGGACTTGCTCACCCCCTCCCTCCTGTGCTGAATCATAGAGCGAACGAATCACTCACTCAGTGACCCCCTCCCTCCTGTGCTGAATCGCAAGCGAATCACTCAGGACTCGCTCACCCCCTCCCTCCTGTGCTCAATCATAGATTAATTTTAGAAATGTTTTTGCTCTAAAAAATTGTTGTTTTCTTTTAGAATCATTCATCTTAGCAGTAAAACATCTCTTTTCTTACAGAAAAGAGAAACAAATTAAGTTTGAGTGAAAATGTACATTTTTTGCACTCTCTGGTCAACTGACTCAGTGAATCAAATGACTCAAAAATCCTATTCACTTTGGTGAGTGACTCATTAAAACTCGATTCAGAAAAGAATCAAATTTACCATCACTAATCAAACACTCATTAAAACAGCGACCTAGAGATATGTTAGCGCACTCATCCCCAACTGTCCGAGTGAGGGGCGGGGTCACATATTGAAACAGACAGCCAGGCGGGGAAATTCCGCCTCTACATTTTGCGACTCGTTTTATTTCTCTATCTGACAAGAAAACTATTCAATCAGATAGTTATTTGTGGTGAAGGAAATACAGTTGTACTTTCAAGCAGCACATCTGAAATTCAAGCACTTTTCAAACCTTAAAAAGACAACATTAAAATTCAAGCATTTTCAAGGATTTCAAGCACCCGTACGAACCTTGCTGGTACCATAATGTCCTTGTAAGTTATATCAGGCCCTTTTAGAGCAAAATTTAGTATTTTGGTCTAGACAACCCAAAATCTGATGTCCACATATGTGGACGCCAGGTCCTAGGAGGTTAATGTTATCTGTCTGATTTCAAAGTATCTGTCGCATCTGAAAAATGCTGCAACTTGCAGCTGAACTCTGCACTGGCCCAGCTTAACCAATATATCTGTGCAGCAATGCTAACACTGGGATTACCTAATTTGTAATCTTTTTTAAACCATCTGTTTAATCTTATATGTAAAAAGAACTAACAGAAATAAATAAAAACACATTGAGCCATTTCCCAAAATAAAAGTACACGACACCTTATTTAAAGTAGTGAATCACATGAGTGATCATTCTATCATATGGAAATTAGATCTGTCAATCTATTCAAGACTTTCTGTCCTAATTTCTATCAAAAGTGTCTAGGAGCTACATTTAAGAAAAAATAAAATAGAAATAATGATAAAATAAAAACTTCATTATAATAACATAGAAAAGAGTTTTGTGTCGTTATAAATGTGTTGAGATCAGAAAACACTAACCTGTTTTATACAAAGAAAGTGGAGAGAGTAGTTGTGAGATGTGATCAGTCTGCAGTCTCTTTCTTGTCTGAAAAACTTTACCTTGTGGTAAAGACTTGCAGTATCCTGGCATACTCAGAACTGCTTCCTCCTTGTGGTGAAGCCCTGTAATTATCTACTACAGATGTGCAGGAGCTGGACTACAAAAGGGCATTTTAGTTCACCTCAATTTTATGATTGGGGGTATATTTTAACCCCCAGCCTTATGGCAAATTTATTTATAAGAGTTTACCTTTCAAGAGAAGAATTTGTAAATGAATCACACAAATGTTATTCCCTAAGGCTTGCAGCAGGCAATTTTTAGCATCTGTTGTGTCTGTTTTTTTGGAATGATGGGCAAAAATATTATCAACACAAGTGCATAGTTGTAATGTGTGGATGGGTCACAGCTGTGAGCACAGTGCTAAAACTTTGACTCTGTCCTAAAATCTCTTCACTCAATCCTCACATAAAGTGTTTAGAAATGATCTTAAGCTTTTTCTCTGATAAAAACACATGTTTGTGTTTGGCAGAGATACTGTAAACAGTGATACTGTTTACATTGGTCTGTGGTGATTTGTAGACACAATGGCTTTAAATATTACACCCTCAGGAACTGATAGCTCTGCTTATGAGGATTTTGGTGCCGGTTACTTATTGTTCTGCTTTAAGCTGGAAGCTGATGTAGGTCATTCAGGGAATGTGTTGTTAATTAAAATGAGCAACATAAGGTTAGAAACCCGTTTCAGGTGAAGGTGCATGATGCTCCCGGGTTTTTTCTCATCTCAGCAAGAGGAGTGGAGGCATCTGCTACTCAAACCGAGAAATCCACGGACAAAAGAGAGAGAAAACTCAGAATTGAGAGGAAGGAAAGCCAGCATACTTACCTGCTAGAAGTCCGGAGTCGAGTGGCTGGGTGAAGGAGAGAAGCAACATCGAAAACACGAGTGTTATTCCGGCAGAACAAACTTGTAGAGACTTACCGTCGCGATCATGCTAATGCTAGCTCGGTGTCTCACAGGCTAACCACTCACCTTTCATCCGGAGAGCTGCTGCAATTCCAACGCCAGTGTGTGTTGGGCTTTTGTGAAACAGAGCAACGGTGAGCAACATGTTCTTAGCTGCTCTATTTATTTATTTTTTGTCCCGTTTGGATCTATAGCCATCAGAATTGTTGTCTTAATGCCAAGAAAGATGCCAAGCGGATTTATTTTACCAAGTGGATCATCATGGCCTTGCCATATTGGTCCATTTGATTGACCTTTATTATAATGATGAATTTATTTCATTTTCAGTTGCTACAAACGGGACAGACATAACTGTGGGATAGGACAGGGGGAAAGAATGAAAGAAAGAGAGGGAGAGAAAGGAAACCAAAGGGGAGAAGAGACGGTGAGAAGGGGGGGAAGAGAGAAAAACAACAAACAAACAAACAAACAAAAAACACCTGGGTCACCTGTATGGAGAAAAAAGAAACAGAAGAGAAAGCAAACAACAAAGAGCAACATAATAAGAGAAAAAAAAAAGCACCATCACAATAAACTAGCTAGCAGTAGATATCAATAGTTACGAAATAATAAACGATATTGTGCAGCACGCAAGATAGACAACGCACAGTGTGCTTTGAGGCAGCAGCCAAGAAAGCTGTAGTCCGCGTCTGTGAATACCCATGTGTACACCTGTGTGCATACCTGTGTGGATCAGCATGCTTGCATTCCAAAGGTTTCTCCATGTAATGATCTGCTAGGGAGTGTGGGGAGCCACAGCCCTGTCCTCCAGGGTATGAAGCAGGTATGGAGGAGATCAAAACTCCAGACATCCAGAGGCCCCCAGAACACAAGAGACCAAGGAAGACCCACAGAGGGGCAGCCGCGCCACTGTTCTAGTAAGAGTTGGAGGAGTTGGAGTTGTAGGAGTTGCAGTGACGCGCCCGTGAGCACAGCCAGCTGTGCCTGAGTGACCGAGCCCCAGGCCGAGAGGCCGGGGGCACCCCACCTGGGGAGAGGCAGACCGCCCCGACTCCGCAGCAGCAGGGAGGCCCCACACCCCAGACCGCAGTCGGACGGCCAACTCCTCCTAGCCCCCCCGCTCCAGCAGGCCGCAGAGAACGGGGGTGAGAGAAGACTCCAAACCTCCCTCCACCCACTCATTGTAGTGTTGATGTATGTGTGTTCTAAGGTGCATTTAAAACCCAGGAGGGCATGGAGCTACCTGCCAGAGAGCAGCAGGTAAGCGCATAGTCCCTCCTGCTAGCCCTCAATGTCTACGTGTATTTAAAATTGAGAGGTGGGCAACGATGCCAGGGGTGAGGTGTACACAGCCAAAAGGGGACGGGGGACGGGGGGGGGGGGGGGTAGCCTCCTCTGCACCCTGGTGACATACCCCTACTCCAAGGCCCTGCATGTGTGGGTGGTTGTGGTGGAGCGGGAAGAGGGAGGCAGCTGGAGATGGGGAGGGAAGGAAGGGAGGGGCAGGTGACCCCTCCCTGGGGCGAGCTCCCCCGCTGACCCCAGTAGGCACTCCCATACTCCGCGACCCGCCAGGGAAAGGGGGCCCAGACCCATCCAGACCGGGGCCCAGCGCAGCAGCGCCCCCCAGCCCCACAGAGCCCGGGACAGTCCACCCAACCCCACCACAGAGAAAACTGCACCAACCCCCCCATCCACTCATCTTCCAGATTACATGAGACGATAGACGCCCAGGCTGAGATCTTCCTCCACCTCTCCTGTATCTCCCCCTCCTGCAGAGAGTTCCTGAGGAGAGGAAAGCTCCTAGTTCTTAGCTGCTCTAAAGCTAATTTTTGTCAGTTCATTGTGAGTTTAAAGTAATGTAGAGGGTAATTTTTAGTGCATTTCTTTCTCTCGAATAGGCCTATAGTGTGGAGAAATTAAGCACACTGCTTTAATGCCTCAGAACTGAACTCACATATATATTTTGTTGCTTATTTGCACATAGTTCTGAATTTGTTATGGTGTATTGTATTTTGAATGTCAATGGTTACTTACCATAAGTATTGTTTAATTAATGTTTACATGAATAGAGAAATATTTGAGCAACTTAGATGTTTAGTTCTCATATTTGATATTCTTGAAAATTTAATGTTGTACAACAGAACTGATAAGATTTAAGATGTTGATGCAATGAATATGAGGTGATGCAATATTTTGATTTTGTATTTTAACCTTAAACAATGCATCTGAAACAGACTGATTAGAATGTACATTTTATGACCTGGATTATAGGTCAGGTATTTGGAGAGGACGGAAAAGTCCAAGGACCAGGACGATATTCCGTTGTGATAGATGGCGAGCCAACCACTTTGAGGACGATCTACCCCAAAGAAGATACACACCACACACTCATACATTCCAGTTACACTCACAAGGACCTTTGAAGTTGGCTATCGCCAGCTTAACTCTAAATTGTTAAAGGGCCCCAACGAGTACTTTTATTTTATTTGAGTGTGCACACTATTTATTTTATTTTATACTTTATCTGTATAAATTGGACAAATACCTGTTATACTTTGTAACAATACAAGATTGGCTACTCAAAAGTTAACATTGTGTCCAGATCATTATTGCTGCTCAATAATTTGGCTCCATACAAATTTGGTGTCTTCTGATTCTGGCCAGGGTCTTATTACGAGCCCAAGTAATTATTGTGCTGTAATTCACCTTTATACCTTAAAGTTGGTTCCATAAACATTTTTAGTGTTGTACCCTACTGAAGGCATTATGTTAATACTTCCCAGATTCAACTTTGGAAGTAAGGTCCGTATGCTTCCCCCACTTTTATCATTATCGGTAGGTGAAATGAGAACATGTTCCTTCTATTGTAAACTTGTTATGAGGCAATGACTATGTTATCTTACAAGCTGAGCAATAACAAATAATCACACACACATAAAAGCAACAAACACAATTTTCTTATACAAAATAACTAAAATAACTAATAATTTAAGTGACATAAATATATAAAGTACATTCCAGGGTACATCTATTTTAGAAACGATTAAGATGGGTGGCTAATATGTATTCCATCATCCAGCTGGGGCCTTTCGTGCATGTTCTCCCCGTATTTGCCTGGATTCTGTTTGGGTATTCTGGCTTCCTCCTCCAAAAGATATACATAGTAGGGTTAGGTTGACTGGTGATCCTAATTTGCCCATAGGTGTGAAAGCGAGTTCAAACTGTTATCTGTTCCTCTGTGATATCCCTGTGACAGACTGGCAATCTGTCCAGGGTTAACACCGCCTCTTGTCCTATGATAACTGGCATATGCTCCGAATCCCCCACAAGCCTGATAAGGATAAGCAAGAATGGATCGGCGGAAAATTGGCATTCCTAAAAAGAACGCAAATCAAACACACTGCTCTCAGGCACATCTGTTTATTTAAAGACTTGTTCAATCTTTATTATGGAAAGTTATGACTTGTCTTGGAAGGTATACTTGAAAGGTATCCAGTATGACTATCAAATGTATTCAATAACCCTTTAGCAACAAACCTCTATACTTTTCTTTTTTTTTTTTCATGAACAAGTTACAGGGGATTATGACTGCACTTTGGATTTTGCATTGTATTTTCTATTATTTTGGAGGCAAAATGTATATAGCAGGGCTGGACTGGGACAAAAAATCAGCATTTTAACTAGAGACCGGCCCACCAGGTATTATAGGTAAAACCATCAAGCCTTTGAATGAAAACAAACATCGTTGTGACAGTGATGTACACTGTCTTGTTAGTACATATGTATCAATCTAATAAACTTAAACCTACACCATCCTCCCTATTCTGGTATTATAAACAGTACGTAGCCGAAACCCAAAGGCTGCTTGGTTGAGTTAACTTCCTGAACTATCTACAACATATGGTGGAAACATGAAATTAAGACAGAGAAGGCTAGAGGTGAGACATGATCATTACTGAATATTAAAAATAATAAATGACAGATTTAGTGATATTTTCATAAACTATTTATTTACATCAATAAACAGCATGGCAGGGCAAAATATTGTTCCTAACATGGCAAACT